AGAAGTGGTGTATAAAAAAAGAATAAAAGATTGGTTTGCAGGCAACCAGATTCTGATTGGCAAGAATTTGTAAACTTGTCGACGTCGAACGCAAAAAATTCTGCCTGGTTTGTTTTCCAAGAATTTGTTTTCCACGCCTTATCTACTCTGATCAAGAGCCATTATTGCTCTTAAATGTGACCGAAGACTATTTTTGGGGTGTACATATAAGGCTATATCAACTCGATACAAGATCTGTTTCACTCCAAAATCACTTAGCTTTTCCCTCAAAAGTCATATGAATGTGCCCTTACGTTAAGTGATTTGTGGAATACAAAATTATTGTTTGATTTAAGTTATAAATTTATTAATGGGAGCTTCCCTTTTAGCCGTGGTTAAATCTATATATTAAATATTGTGTAGTGTGGTAGTTTTGTTTTCTTGATATTTAACGTATTTATTTCCCATTTATATGTATTACGTCTTTTTGCATCGAGGACGACGCTTTTTCTAAGGGGAAGGAATGTTGTGAAGTATTTTTAAAGTTAATTTTAAGACGGATCTATCTTATCTTTTAAGTTTAGTTTTTGTTTTATTAAGTCTTGTTTCTTTGTCCACGTATACTGTTTTCCTTTTTTTGATCTTTTGTTTTTACTTGTACTTGAATTTATGCTTTGCTCGTGAATTTACTTATTGCCACATTAGGAATGTTATTCGCTTGGCATTTTCAGATGTTAGTTTTTTACAGGTAGTCGTGTTTGTGGTGTTAGAGCTGACCTTCGTTATTTGGTACTTGTCAGTGGCGGCTGTGCGTAGGCTAATCTGTTCCCTAACAACAGCAAACCTGTTGCAGTGTTAACGATAAGATATACAATAGAAACTCTTCCGGTCTGCTAACCCAAACATGTCCAGCCTTGGCTATTAAAACCGCTACTATACTTGAACTGGGGGGTAGCAGAAGTAGAGAAGACTGTAGGAGAAGTAGAGTAAGTAGAAGTTATAAGAAGATTAGGAAGAATAAAGGCCAAGATGTAAATCAGATTCCTGGTACCTCATCGTGTAGCGAGCGAGTTGCTTGAACACACCCCCACACTATGTACATTGCAGGCAGTCAGGTCGCAGATTCGGAAAAAGGTTCGGGGAGCACTTCCACTCCGCCAGTATCGCCTATTTCATTATAGATGATTCTCCATTGCTTAACTTTTCAACCTTCCGGAACACAATTCCATTAGCGACATATCTGTGTCTGTGATCAGACAAGCAATGAGAGTTCCACCATTCTATCTCTTAATTGCCTAATTTGCACTACCTTTGCTTTATTCTATTTTGTTTCGTTCTTATTTATCTTCGATATGTCAGTTACGCACGTGCTTAGCAGCGTAAAGTTAGCTACACTACTGCCTATTGTACAACAATTTCAGTTCTTTAAGATTTCCTCTCTAACGAACCACACACAACAGGAGAGATTATTATTTTTTTTTACCTTCCCTCCGTGGCTCTCTTGCAGTTTCTTTCGTTCTCCCAAAGCCCATCTCCGTAATTCCAACAACTTCTGGTTATTCGGCTCTATCTTGTAATAGTTAAAGTATAAAATAAATGATATAAAGAACTTAACAAAGCTTTAAACAAACTTAACACAAATTATCTTGTGTCACATGCATGTCGTTCCGTTGGTCATGGAATTGAAGCAACTGGATAGTGAGTACTGTACAGAAACCAACAGATAATTTATAGTACTATATACTAGAGAGCTCTAGAAAGGTGCGAGGCGGTGGCATGAGGTCGATCCCCCCAAATTAAAAAAAATGACGATAATATCCACCCCCTACCGTTATCAAAAATCATGACAAGGTTCTATTCAAAAATGGAAAAAAAGGTTCCTGAAATGATGAAATTTAGCAACAGATGAAAGAGGGTTTAAAAATAGATAGAACAATGTCATGCATTATATTTAGATTTTCGATTTCAAAAAAAGGACTGCGAATGAACTTGTCTGAAAAATAAAACAGCTAATCTCTTTAAGCGCTTAATAGTTAGGGGAATGATTCACACTAAAACTTTTGTTCTAGCACAGGCAGGCCAAGCTCAAACTATTAGCGTTGGCACTGTTGCGTAACCTCTTGGAAATATCAGAGAAGTATAAGGATTTGTATGGGAAAAAAACGATTGTTTCGGTAACCAACATATATATTCAAGAAAAAGAAACGGCTTACCTTTCTCAAGTTATAGGTTTCTTGATTGGTTAGATACCAAGAACAGTAAAAACAATTCTCATTAAATAAAGTCATGTATGTGTCATTCACTTTTTCACACTAGCTTAAAATTCTACTTGCTTGTTTTAATAGTGAACCCAACGTTTTCCGATTGTACCGAGTCCGCCAAGTGTACACAGAGTACACAAGAATTCCCTCTCCTCATCAGCTTCACAGTAAAAAAAAAAGTTTTTTACGGCCTATGATCCGAAAAAAGTCGCCGAAAATCATGTCAAAGTGTCTGATAGCAACCTGTACCCGCAATACAGCCTGTACGCACTCACTACACTCGGTACAGACGGTACACTCCTAAATATGACATCATTTCCTGCTAAATGTTCTATTGTTCTCTGTAACAAGCCAATTAGAGAGCCACTTTAAAACGGTGCAAGTCAACCGACAAGCAGACAACTGATGTGTTTAGACAAACAACTGGTCACACTTAGGCCTACGCAAAATATATTTTCAACGCTGGAAAAATGTATTAGTGATTTACTTTCAATTATCAATTCCTGTAAAGGATACTCTTAATCCCTTATCACACCACGCACTAGCTTCGTCAAACTTTTTCAACTGAATGCAGGCACTTGCACCTGCAAAGGCATAAAACACAGACGTCACCAACAAAACATTTTTCATGAGCTGCAGATGAAGGAAAATACTGATTCGTAGTTTTTACATTAAAATTAAATGAATTAAAATCAGATACTGAAGTTATCCAACAGATTTGAAGGATGAATCTTATTTCTGCCCTAAAAAGAATTCAACTATAAAAATATTAGCAAGAGATCTCTGAGTTAAAGGGTGTTATTTACACCATGTTCACACTATATCGGATGGCTTTTCCTGGCGCCACGAAAAGCCACCCGGTATAGTGTCAACATTTATCCGATATGTGACTCTATACTTTAGAGATCGGCGCGGCGCAGCTTCGCTTCGTCACATAAATCACGCGGCCTTACAATTTTTGTGTATGAACAGAAGCCCTATCCGAATGAGTTTTGTAGCGGCGCAAAAGCAATCCAGCATAGTTTGAACATAGCATTAGTGATAGCAGAGATGGACAAAATTGCTCAAAAAATAGGCCGATAATTAAGCCAACAAAAATGGACTTTTACAAGTTTAATTTGATCCTGCCAGAAATCGGGCATTAAAAAACAATAGCTGAAAGGCGTAAAAAAAGGCGGCATTCTTATCATAAACAGTCTTAAGAACAACAGGGGAGAAGACAGCTGACATAAATATATGTGTAAGATGTACTTATAAGGACGGTACAGTGTCCAAAACTGTTCAATGTTGATAGGATCAGGTGAAACCGAAATTGTCTCTTAGTATGCGAACTGAATAGGACTGAAAAAGTAAGGAGGAAATTTGTTGTGGCAATCGAAAAAAACTAACAATGGTAAAATTCCTGGGCCTATAAGATCTAAAAGAGAAAATCTCTTAAAATTATTTGGGCGAAACATAAAAGGAGTAAGTCTAAATAAGAACGACTTCATTCATGGAAAAAAAAATACACAAGGTTAATATTGTCGGTGTCCCACGAAGCATCAAGAATAAATCTAAAAAGAGGAAGCGCGCAGAGGAAGAAAAGAAAGCAACCGAAAAAGGTATTTAAGACGCTATAAACTACTCAATATCTTAGTCAATATATTAGAGGCTGGAAACTTGCATGGCATAGACATAGAGTGTTTCCAGAATGTGGTCAAAGATAGAAATGAGGTTCAAAAAGATAATACACTAATACGGCGACTACCACTGAGCTTGGACTTTCACAGAGAGGCTAAGGGTGGGGAAGGAGTAAGTGATGCCTAGTATATTTTAGGGGGGAGGGGGCAAGAGGGGTTGGGTTAATTCGGCGGAAGCGAAGCATGCAATCGACAAGCAGGAAATTCTTAAATCCGTCTTTGTGCATCGGAAAAATCACCATAAAGTGATGCTTAAATTACACAAGCAACTCGCTTAAATATATTCATTATTCTTAGATATGTTTAAAAGCAGACTACATCACAGCGTACAAATGTTATAAAGGCCAGCCCACATGGGTTCAGTACACAAAACTTTAACTCTTACCCCTTACAAAAGCTTTTTGAAAACGTGGTTGTAATTCAATGGCAACGTTTGCATCACTCAGTGTTTCTGAGTAATTGCCTATAAAAACAAAATACAGAACACACTAAGTAAAAGCTCAGATAGGTTTAACAGAGCAAGGGGAGAGGAAACAATTAGCCTACACGTTTACTTAACAACTACTAACTACTTCGAAAGTACTGATTTAATGATGCTAACCAGTTCAATAAACCAAAAAGTGAGATTTTTTAAAGCTAATATATAACAACTCTTACCCAAATTAAAATGTGCTGCCGCCCTGTTGCTATGCAGTTTGGCGTTAAGATCTTTATCTTTGCAGTTCACTTTAATTCCTTCAGTGTAGTGGTGAATGGCGCTGTTGAAATTCTTCTTGCTGTATTCATTGTTACCCTCATTCTTATAAACCTCTGCAATTGCTACAACAAAGCATTCCAAACTTTTGAAACTTCTTACCTTAATTGCTGTTTTAAATTTCTATAACTGCTACAATGAACCAAATTAGAACACTGCAATTTAAGTTAGATACAACTGCGTTGAGTCAAGGGTTTGACTGATAAGAATACTTACACCTGACAGGGGTATAAAGGTTTATACTAGGTTGGATACCAATGACGTTTTCTTCGTCGCTGATATCTTATTATTAAGAAACTAAATATTGTTTTAATTTCTCACCTCTTAAATTCTCATCATCAAATTGAAGTGTTTCCTCAGCAGATGACATGACATCACCTTCTTTTGCAGCTATGTTTGCACTGCTCTCCATGGCGGAATGCTTTAAGATTTTAAAATATCATTAGGTTGTTCTGATGTTTGAAGGCAGTTAATATTTATAGCATAGATATTATTAATCCAGCAGATTTCTACCACATCAAATTTAAATTAGCTTCTCGTTACCCGCAAATATATATGTCTAATTGCACATTTGTGCTAAAAGCATAGCTTAAGTAAATTAATACCGTAGAATTCCGAAAATAAGCCCCGGGGCTTCTATTTTTCAAAGGCCTTTCTTGAGGGGCTTTTTTTTTGGAGGGGCTTATCTACGGAGGGAAATTATATTTGCGTTTCAAAATCGATTAGGCTAGCCTTATAGTTGGAAGGAAATTTACCATTTTAGCTTTGTTTTACTTTGCATTTGAGAGCAATTTCCAAGTACAACCCCCCCGGGGGGGGGGGGGAGCTCATATTTGGAAGGGCTTATAGATCGAGGGGCTTATTTTCGGAATTTTGTGGTATCTCCATGTTCTTTACAGTCGGCTCCTTTCTCTTACGTGGCGAGTTTCGAACCCAAGGAAATACAGAGGGCACTCCAGCTTTCAAGTGTTTTTACTATATCACCCACTCTGAAACGGAAGAGAGCGTACCTTTGCATACTGGGTGGGTCACCTGGACGTGTTTTCCCTCATCTCTTCTTATCACGTGTAGCTATCTCTTCTTCATTTGAGGGTTATCGATGGAAAATTTAAAGAAAGACCTTTTTGTCCCATCCGTATTTCGGTAGCCTTTCTTTGGACATCCAGGAACACAACAGTGTGTTAGCATTTTTGTCTCGAAACAATTGGCATTAAAGGACCTAAATTGAGGTGAAATTGTGCCCTGAACAAAGCAGTGGAAATCTTTGACCTTGTTTTGTTTTGGATTAATCGAGCGTCGAGGCCTCGCTTCCGGCACAGCGTCGGCTATTATGAACGTCGTGTATTGTACAACAACTTTAGTTCTTCAAGATTTTCTCTGTAACGAACTACAAACAATAGGGTTTGATTGTTTTCTTTTTACCTTCTCTCCGTGGCTCTCTTGCAGTTTCTTTAGTTCTCCCAAAGCCCTTTTCCGTAATTCCAACAGCTTTTGGTTATTCGGTTCGATCTTGTAATAGTTAAAGTATTAAATAAATAATATAAAGAACTAAACAAAGCTTTAAACAAACTTGAAAGACATTATTTTGAGTCACATGCATGAGGTTCTATTGATGATGGAATTGAAGCAACTGGAAAGTGAGTACTGTACAGCAATCAACAAATAATTTATAGTACTATATATTAGAGAGCTCTACAAACGTGCGAGCGGTGGCATAAGGTCAATCCCCCAAAATCAAAATGGTGACGATATTATCCACCCTAGAGGGGCTCACGTTATGAAAAGCATGACAATGTTCTATTCAAAAATGGAAACCTCTTGAAAATACCAGAGAAGTACAAGGATTTGTATGGGAGAAAAATGATTGTTTCGGTAACCTTCATATATATTTTATAAAAAGAAACGGCTTACCTTTCTTAAGTTATACGTTTCTTGATTGGCTAGCTAGCGAAAACAGTAAAAAAAAAATCTCCAATAAAGTCATGTATGGTTTATTTACTTTTTCACACCAACGTAAATTCTACTTGCCTGTTTTACAAGTGAACCGAACGTTTACCGATTGTACCGAGTCCGCCGAGTGTACACAGTGTGTCGGAAATCCTTCTCCTCATCAGCTTTACAGTTAAAAACGTTTTTTACGGCCCATAATTTGAAAATTTTCGCCAAAAATCAGTGTCTCGTAGCAGCCTGTACACGCAGTACAGTCGGAACACACTCAGTACAATCGGTACACTGGAGCCGGTACAGTCAAAAGCAGTTGGTGCTTTAGATTCAGTCGGTACACTCTACACTTGGATATGTGACGTCATTTTCTGCGAAACGTTCTATTGTTCTCACTAACTAGCCAATGAGAGATGCGCTTTGGAACGGTGCACGTCAACTGGCAAGTAGACGACTGATGTGTTCAGACAAACACCTGGTCACACCTGGGCCTACACAAAATATATTTTATTACTTTCAATTATCAATTCCTGTAAAGGATACTGCCAATCCGTTATCACACCACGCACTGGCTTCGTTAAACTTTTTCAACTGAATGCATGCACTTGCCCCTGTGAAGGCATAAAGCCGCACATACGTTAGCTACAAAATATTTTTATTGAGCTGCAAATGAAGAAAAATAATGTCCGGTTCGTATTTTTAAATAAAAATAAAATGGACAAAATTACATATCGAGCTGAGAATTATGATCGGAGATTCTAGCCTGAATTTCAGACATTTCTTCGAGTCGTTTATTCTCTCATTAACGTCTGAATCGACCGGCCGTTAATGCTGTGCAGTCACGTCACTACCCGAAAACCTTAATTCATACAAAAATTAAAACACGATTTTCAACTGGCAAACAAAGAAATATCGTCCGGAAATGTCTATATGGTACAGAATTGCTTTACTCTTAAAACATAATTCACGTTTAACGTTCAAACTGTCAACTGCACGCAGTTCTTTGAACGAATCTGTCGCCGAAAAAACTGATAGCAGAGTACAGCGCCATAATTCAATAATTAAACTCGATCGCGGTCACGTAATAAAATTAATACACTCACAGAACACTTTAAAACCACAACAATTTGCCTTGATTGAAAAGAAGCTATTTGTTTCTTAGTGAAGAAGAAAGAAAAGCTAACATGAGTCATTGCACTTCATGACGGTGGAAATGACGGGAAGTTCGAATTATAAATCTCACAAAAATCGATCACCGATGCTTCGCATAAACAAAACTCACCGCCGAAACCTCAACGCGGCTCTAAATGAAAAACCAACCGACCTTCCGCATTGACTCTTCATTCGTAGATTAATTTAACAAGTCACAGTTTCTAATAGCCTATGTACAGCCGCCCTCTCCCCTCAGAAAAAATCGGAGAAGCACGGATAGGGGACCTTTCAATATATATTTAGTTTCTCTTTCCCGAAAACCCTGGATCTGAATAGTTAAATGCGTGTAGTTTTCATTGTGGCATCATAATTCCGAAAAATCGTTAAATTGCAGATTGAAGAAGCAACTCGTCCGTAGATAATCATTATTTAAAAATATTACATCACAGCGCGAAAATGTTATGCTGTGCAAACCCACATGGCCTTAGCCTGCGAGCAAGCTCTCCTATTTGGGCGAGTGAAAAACAAGTCTCGCGAGAACGCGCGAGCGAGTGGCGAAGCTGCGAGGGGCAGCCCCTCGCTCGCGCGTTCTCGCGAGGTTCGCTTCGTTTGCCCCAATAGGACAGCTTGCTCGCAGGCTAACATGGCCTCAAGGTTTGGATCAGTCGCTTTCTCGTTCCGTATAAACACACAACTGTAACTCTTAAATAAATGAAAAAATAAATAAAAAAAGAAAACATAAAATAAAATAAATGAATAACGATTTAGAGGTAGCACATCCACTAAGTGATTCTTCGTCTACCTGATTCCTGGTCGAATTGGAACTCTTACCTCTCACAAAAGCTTTCAGAAAGCGTGGCTGCAATTCAATGGTAGCTTTAGCATCTTTCACTGTTTCAGAGTAATTGCCTATGAAAATGAAAAACAGAACACACTATTTAACAGCTCAGATAGGTATAACAGAACAAGGGGAGAGGTTACGATAGCTTACAACGTACTTACGTAACAACTACTGCACTCGTTAGTAAGTTTCTGTGTGCAGTCCATTCATTGTTGCCGATCAGTTCAATAGACCAAAGATAAGATATAAGATATTTCTCATTACTCAAATTAAAATGTGCTGTCGCTCTGTTGCTGTACAGTTTGGCGATATTTAAAAGCTAATATATAACAACTCTTACCCAAATTAAAATGTGCTGTCGCTCTGTTGCTGTACAGTTTGGCGTTAAGATCTTCATCCTTGCAGTTCACTTTGATTCCTTCAGTGTAGAAGTGAATGGCGCTGTTGAAATTCTTCTTGCTGTATTCATCGTTACCCTCATTCTTGTAAACCTCTGCAATTGCTACAACAAAGGAAATGAAATGATTTTTGACTTCAATGTTGAAATGATAGTGGCTGTTATTCTACAACTGCTTCGATAAACCAAATTAGAAAACTTTCTATGAGTTTCACACAAATGCGTATCAGTCAAGGGTTTGACTGATAAGAATATTTTTAAAAGCCGTGCACCTGACAGAGGGATAAAGGCTTATACATATTTGTAACTAACCGAGTAAAATTGCTCCGCCATTGATATTTTATTACAGAAAGTATATGATATATTCATTTCTCACCTCTTAAATTGTCATCGTCAAACTGAACGGTTTCCTCAGCAGGTGAAGTGACGCCGTCTTGTTTGGCTGCTTTGTTTGCACTTCTCTCCATGGTGGAATGCTTTAAAGTTTATACCATTCAAGACCATTAGGTTAATATTGTGGTGTTTGTAACCAATACGTTTTTTGTGGCATAGATATTCTTAAAAAGAAACACACCGCAGCGTTTTATCACATCAACCCGCGAAAAATAGCTTCTTGTCACTCGTACACAAGAGTAACTGTAAACATTTGTTCTGAAACCTTGGCTAAAGTAAATTAATATCTCCATGTAATGTCATTTTGAGCACTTTTTAGCTTTGTCAACACGCTTCCTTTCAATTTGTAGTGTTGAGAGTACATCACAACACCTAAAGAATTTCGTCTCATTATTCCTATGATAGATATCAAAACCAGGTAAGACTGTTGAAGATGCCACCCCAGCTCGCATCGGTTGATTTTCTAAGAACCATACACTAGATCAAGACAAGACACTCACCTATCTCTCTGCAAAGGTTCATCAGCTAGCAACGGAACTTGCATTTATCTTATCTAAATGAAGTAAACGTGTAACAAACATTATATTCGAAACAGGACGTTCGATCAACTGCATATTAATTAGGGTTTTTTCCCTTGTTTTTGAACATTCACTTGCCAATTTTCAATGCCTCGCTGGGTAGGAATTAGTACAAGTCAAAACATATTCCTTTGACTTGATCTCTCTTGTGTTTTGTGTTTAAATTAAATTTTAGTGTCACCTATTCATTTGCTAACATACAGTGTTAACAGATAAAACCATGAACAAGCGATGGAAAGTGAAAGTGGTGAAAATTTTGGGTGTTTCTTGGTATTGTGGAAACCATTATTAGTTCGCTTTTGTTTTGTGGTGTGGGTATTGTTCAGTGTCTTTTCAATCTTTTGTATGACGTCATTTGGTGTTTGCACTCGTCCGCAACACCAAGATACTACCAAAATATTCTGTTGTCTTACCCGAAAACAGTGAGAATTACACGGCTATTTTTTGTCACAGACTTGGAAAAAGAAAGTGTCCAACAAAGGATCAAGGAAATAATTTGGTAGAGGTTTAGTTTATTTCAAGTGCTTTTAGTTATAGCCGATGCTGAATTTGGCGCCAGAAAGCTATAAAGTAATCTGCAGTTACTTTTAGTGTTGAAAAATATAAAAGTTGACGACGATATTATAACAAGGCGTAACATTTACTTATCATGTGAGGCTTAATTGAACAACAAGGATAAGACATTTTAGCAACAAGCGGGAATAACGTATCATTTATAATTGCAAATTTCCGAGGAAAATTATCTATTAATAGACAAAAAGTAAATTCATTAAATATTGTTATGAAATGCTGGTACGAAAAAGAAATACACGTTGTTATGATAAGCTTTTTATAATTAATTACTCAATTAGCATTAATTATGAAGCCAAAATTTAACTTAACTCTTGTGTATTTGTGTCGTGTTATGAGCAAATATTTTGTTCCGAAAGTGTCCCTCAACCGGAACGTTCTTTACAGATAGTGTCGGATCGTTTGATCTTTCAGCGGCAGTCTGCTGGTGACATGTAAATGAATTGAAAGTGGAGTTAATTCAGTGGGAACCTTCGGAAACCAAACGAAAACCCGGTGGAATTAGGTGCAAAAAATTCAAAAGAGGGGCCTGATTGATTAGAGCACCTGTGTCCAGAAATTTAAGATCGATAGAACACTTGGAAGGAAGAGGTTAGCTCCCTTGCCACTCCCCCTACATCCGCCCAGGTACAGTCACAGTGTTGCCTAGTGGAACGCTTGAGGGATTTTGTGTCATCCATACAAACTTTCCTGTCGTTAAACATTTTCATTTACTGACTTTCTTTATTAAATACCGAAGCTATAAGTTGCGTTCGATCGGAATAAACAAGCTGACTTTTACAGTGTAGGCAAACGTTTGACTTGAATCAACTTGATTGGACGTCTTTGATCTTAAAAACCAGACTCCACAACCAGCGCAGTTGTGGCCAAATTGCGAAAAACTGTAGCCTAAAATTTGTCAGTCCTTGTTGGTTTACATAGCGTACACTTTCACAAGAGTATATAGAGTTAAGTATTCAGCGAGAAACAATGACCAAAATTGTTAAATCAAGGTAAAAATTACCTACCTTAGGAACAAAAAGCACACCTGATGCCCTTCGGAAGCGTACTTAGAAAACAGAATGCATCAGTCACACTCGGGCTCGCAAGGTGTTCCAAATGACTGAACATAATACTCCACAGTACTGTCCTGTAGAACTTAGCCAAGCGACTTTTTATACCAGTTATTGTGAGTAACAAGGAATCTTCCAGCCAAGAAAGTTCTATCAATCATTACTTTGCTTCAAGGGGGAATACTTTAATCTGCTTTTTATGTAGCCTGACGTCAAAAGCAGGTTGAACGCAGACCGCAAATTATCTTGATGAGCATTGCTCCGTTCAGCTGTAACGAACTTTCAAGCATTGCGGAGCTTGCGTGGAGACAAATATCGCCTATACATGTACGAGGCATCGAATCATCCAAGATTGTTTTCACTTTCAACCTTACTATTTTCATTTTTCTAACTAATCGTGTGAACAGCTTTTTTTAATTTGAAGTTTCACTACGCTCATCATAGCCGTTGTCTGTTTATAAAATTCAGGAGAGAATTTTGGGCTGAACATTTTCTATTTCCCAATTGTGTGACTAAACAGCTTTCAAAAAATGAACCCTTCTCACTTAAGATTTTGTCAAACAGTTTGATATCTGAGGAATATGACCGGGGAGGAGGGGGGGTGTATGGATATAATCCATATAGGTATGGTCGCGCCAAAGGGTATGGTTTTGGCCTCCTTTTGGTCTGAAAACGGGTACAGATTTTGCCCATTTTGGTTTACAAGGGAGTCTACGTAGTGTATGAATGTGTTTTGTTGGATTTATAATCTGAGAGATGATTACATAATTTCTGTTGATGTAAACATGTATTGTTGCGTTTTGTGACCACCTCCAGGTCCGAAAACGGGTATGGATTTTTGAGGCCAGGTCAGAAAACGGGTGTGAAAAATGACAATTTTTTGGTCTAAATTGGGTCAGGACTCGTAGAACCTACCAAGAATTCCCAGGAGTACCATCACCGGGGAATATGAAGGAGAGTACTAATCCAATTTCCCAGCCCGGCTCATTTCTTTTTCTCAAATCATAGTTCTGGTGTACAAATCCCATTCCCAACAACAGTGTTATATGTATTAGCCCATTTCTAAGAAGTCGGCTTCCAACTTAACGGCCGGTTTTTTGCATTTAACTGAGCCATTATATTTTGCTCTTCTGAGAGAAGCTACTATTACGGTACTAATATTTATCTATTTTATAATTGATTCCGGATTCCAGATTTCTGGTTTTAGGCAAACCCAGAAAGAAACCTCGCGGTATCTCACTGACAAAATATTATTCAATGTCAGTTTAAACTTGCCAAATTTCGACGATCAACGAGTTCTACCTCCGTTTTGAAAGACTCGTGTACAAAAAGCCTTTCGGCAATCTTCCTTGCATCCACTTCTTAAAGAAACAGAAATATGGGAATAAACAATTAACTTACATTACAGTTAATTTAACCGAAAGCAAGTAAATCCATGTTTAACGACCAAAACTTCAGTTGTCTCCACTTATGACGAAAATCGCAGCGCGCGTGGAACGTGCGTGGAGTGTACAGCGAGGACGAAACGATACATTTATGTAGCGATTGGTGTCTTTGTTGTAGTTAATTTTTTATTTCAGGTCATTTTTTTTTTTTTTTTTTTTTTTTTTTTAACTTCGTCACCATGTATTACTATACCCGAAAACAAAAGAAAAACAAAAATTACCTAAGATAAAAAATTAACTACAACATTTTCAACGACGATATAAAACGTAAACGTCATCAGTTGTTTTGACTCGGTTTAATGAAATGCTTTGGGTAATGAATTTCGACGGCAGAAGCAATTTGGATCATTACCTTGAAAATACGAGGAAATTTATCAGTGCGTCTCAGCATCTTAATTTCGCCACTTTCAAGTTGCCCATGATACATTTGATGTCATATATTTAAGTCAATTACTGTGTAACTCACTTCATCTATCTTTTTTTTTCTTCATACAGTCGTTTATCTTTCTAACAAACCTTTATTTTCACACATTTTTTTCTTTGTTATCCATCTTGCTATATCCTTAGCGACGGAAGACAAGTCTTCACATGATATTTACCAACAAGATATAAACCATAGTTAGGATGAAAAATTGTTGGTCCCTTCTCACAGAGCTTCTCTAATCTGACTCTAGAGAATAGAGAAGTAACAATCTCGGGCAGGAAGCCACCCCCCCCCCTTCCCCCATGTCTATCTTTAGACTTCAATTGAAGCCTAGTTATGTTAAGTTGGCCTTACCGCCACGCCAATGCAGTTAAAGTATTCTACATCAAGATCTAGTACGAGTACAACCTTGGAACAACCTGTAGAAAAATGTGTCTTTAGAATTCTTAATCCTTCCAGTTAATTACTGACCGGGAGACAGCTAGTGTCTTTATTAACACTGGCCGCAATAAGCGTAAACAGACTGCTCACCTTGTTGCTGGGTCTCAGATACACTTATGTCCAGGATCGATCTCGCTAGCAAAAATTTGCTGGGAAATTGTTTTCGCAATTTTAGCAAAAAAAAAAATAAAAAATAAAAAATAAAGGAAACTGATATCAGAAATGTAGCAAATTTCCCAAAAATCGCAAAAGTAACAAGGATTTTTCTTGTTACCTAAAAACACCGAGTAACAAATACCGCAAAAATAGCAAGATTTCCAATTTTAACAAAAATTATAGACTCAGAAAGAGGACAGGCCAAGAAGGGCTTTGAGAAGCATGCGATGTTGAGTTTAATGACTTAAGGTAGCAAGGGAGTGGCATTCTCTTTTTCTGTTTATCTTTTTGTTAATAAGTAGTTTCTTAGAAATCGATTTTGAGATAAATATTAGCGATAAAAAATCACGACGTTTCGACCTCTCCAAGGTCATTTTCAAGTGTATAAAAGTTCTCTAAATTAGCATAAATAAGTTAAAAACAGGTTATAATAGATAAAAATGTGGGGAACGCTAAAATGTGATAAAATATGTAAAAATGTAAAAAGTGCTAAAAATATTTATAAAGTCAAAAACAATGGAAATAAAACAATGTTAACAAGAACTATTCTAAACAAATAATTTGGCGCGAATTGAATCGCACTGTTTGTTAAGCGTCGGTTTCAGTTCTTGGATAAAAAACATTTCAAAAATAAGGCAGTCAAATTTGTTCTGACACTTTCTTAAGATTCTAAAACTTTGTGCGATGTCTTCAGGCTCCATATCATGCTTTTTTACATATTTTATCGCATTTTAGCGTTCACCACATTTTTATCTATTATAACTTGTTTTTAACTTATTTATGCTAATTTAGAGAACTTTTATACACTTGAAAATGACCTCGGAGAGGTCGAAACGTCGTGATTTTTTATCGCTAATATTTATCTCAAATATCTTTTTGTTCTTTTATAAAAGACTTAAATTCGCTAAAAAGGTAAGAAGAATGGGAACATGGTACT